TCTTCCATAATCGTAAATATAGATTTGTGCCAGGACACGTAGCCAAGCTAAAATATATATTAAATTAAAAAGAAAGCAGGGGGAAATTAAATAAAAAATTAAACATTATAAATATAATATTTGAAATATATTTTAAAAATATTGAAAATTAATTAAAAATTTATTTAAAATTTTTTTTAATATAATTTTAAAATATATTTCAAGAAGAACTATGCAAATAATACAATTATTTTAAAATTAACTTAAAATATATTTAAAATATATTTTAGAAATATTAAAAAATATATTTCTAATGTATTTGTTTTATATATTTGATTTCTTATGTTTAAAGCACTTTAAATTATTGCATTAAATCATTAACATTCTTGCTAAAGAGCATTTATTTCTTTTTTAATTTTTTTTTAAATAAAGAAGAAGCAAATATTAATACAGAACTTAAAAATGTATTTGTATATAATAAATATATATTTAAAATATTTTTTAAAATTCTTAAAAAAGGTTTTGAAGTATGCATGGAAATTTTTGAATATTTTTTTTAGATATGAAATATAAATATCCAAAATGTATATATTTTATATTTTAGGGGGAAAATATATTTTATATTAAGGGAATATAAATAACTAAAAACAAGCAACTCAAGTCCCCTAAAATACATTTCAAAATAAAATAAATTAATAATTTAATTATGCAATATATCTATTTACTATTTTCATAGCTATATTTTATGCATTTCCCTCACATTCCTGGCCTAATCAAATGAAAACAATATAGATTGAGCTGTGCTGGCTAAGCACAGGATAAGGAATAAATATATCTTGGCATATAATTCACATTTTCCATGGCCACAGCGTTGAGGAAAATTAAAAAGAGGGGGGAAATATCTTCACATTGCGGGCATATTTTGCTCTAATGACACTTTGAACAGCTGTTAGATTTCTCTGGCGACATAAAAAAAAGCACACAGAGAAAGACAGAGAAAGAGAGGGACAGAGAAGGCAAGAGGGAAATGGAAAATGGTTCGACGGGGGGGTGGGGTTTTCCCTCGCACATATTTGAAGACATAAATAAATGTCAAAAAATGCAGATTACTTATTAACCCCTGTGGCGTGCCACAAAAAAAAAAAGAGAAAATATAAAATACAAAATACAAAACGCGTTTCGCCTTCGCCTTAGCCGCGATATTATTCATTAATACAAAACCCGGGGAGCCGGGGGAAGCCACCCACCGAAGCACTGAACCACTGAACCACCCAATCCACCCGGGCAGCCCCACGCGGCGCCTTTGCCACCTTTTCGGAGCGCGAAGAGCGGCATGGATGGGGAAAATTATTAGCTCTTTGGTAATATTTTCTTGCATAAATTTTTGAATAATTTCGTTTTTTTTTCTCAACCGAGAAACACTGAAAAGAAATCAGAGTAATTAGGAAGAGACATTGAAATTGAAATTGGTTTTTTAGAAAGTATATTTCTAGCAAAATCTTTTTAAAGTGTCTCTTCAAAGCCTTAAAAAAATATTTTAAAAATATTTCAAGACTGTTAACGCATTAAATTTAACTTTGTAATATTTAAAAATATTGTAAATAAACTATATATTTAGGAAAAATACAACAAAAAATATAAAAAACAATTTTGAAATCAATAATACTTTCTAATTTCAAGAATTTCAACTACAAATTTCGTTATCTTAAATTCCAAAATTCTAGATGATTTTTTCAGTGCCTTTTCCTATCCTCCACACCCTCCCTCACCCCCCTCCTGGTGTCTGTGTCTTCTTTGGGCAACGCTTTATTTTCAATTTAACCCTCATTGCCGCCCGCCCGCTCCCTCTCTCGAAGGTCCTTGCTTTTCACCTTCGCTCGTGTGGCATAAAAATTGAATCCTAATCCATGAATATAGATGATTATTATATGCCCCCGCCCCTCCCCTACCGAGTTAAAAAAATGAAAAGAAAAGAGGAGAAAGCAGCGGGATGGCGGCCATTAGAATGCCTCGTCTGGCTCTCTTTCCACCGCCACCACCACTACCACCTCTCGCAGGTTTGGTAATTTTCCTTTTGTTTTGCATTTTGCATCGGTCCATCCATCCGTATCCTGTATCCTGTATCCTCATGCCCCCCACACCCACCCACTGTCCGTATCCGTATCCTGCCACCAAAAGGAACTACCAGCAACGCCGCCGCCAAAGTTGTCGTAAAATTTTGTTATGACTTTTTTCTTATTGCCAACGCATTCGAAATGTTGCTCTAGGGGGCTCCAGCACCAGCTCCTGCCCCTGCTCCTGATCCAGCAGGACACAGGGGGGAGGTAGAGGAGGCATGCCTAAGTTACTTCCTGCTGGTATTTAAAGTTGTAAAAATTGATGGGTCTCTGCCCCGGGAATCAGGACTCTGTCCGCGCGCCTAGAAAATCTCACTTTTCCCCCGGCAAGCTACATTTTTATGGCAACTGCAGCGGCGAAAATTATCAAGACCAAGGTTTTCACAAAAAGAAAATATCCAAGAATATAAATAGATATATATGCAACAATATTTTAATATTTAAGAATTTTGTAAAATATTTTTAAAGCTATCTATATGTGTTTTTAATTTGCAAAGGGTCTACAAAATTTAAACATTTAACAAGAAAAATCAGAAGATGCTAGAACTAGTTGGGAATTATAGTGTCAACTAAGTGGAATTTGTTTTGAGCAGTTCTGCGCTAATTTTGAATAGGTTAATAAATCTGTAAACCAAATTCCCTTTAAAAAATCAAACGTATGCCCAATTTTAACGATGTAACCCCATATAAAATTTAAAAAAATGCCAAACTATTTTTGTACCCCTTCCAGAGAGTCGCCTGCTAATGCTAACTGAAATAAAAATCCCAAAAACTGTTTGTTCTTCGCCATTTCCAATTAATCCAAATTTATGCCCGCGCTAAACATAAATAAATTGCATAAATAAATTATTAGAAAATGAACAGATTTCGCAATTAAAACTACAAAACTAAATTACAAATGCATTGCTCTCTCTCTTAACGAGCAAATAATAATGACCGCGGCATTTGTAATAACAATAATGAAAAGCCATTTGGCCATTTGGCCAGTTTGCCCCCTGAACTGGGCCTCGGAGCCAGGAACAACATTCACACACACACACACACACACACGGCCATAACAATTAATTAACAAATAAAATGTCAATTAATTTTACAAACATTGCAGCGAGGGCGAAAATATAAATATATAACAATAAAATGTACACGCTCGGCAAACGCAATGCAAATTTTCTCATTTATTTATGATTTCAATTTCAATATTAAAGGTGTGTGTGTGTGGGCAGCGAAATTTAAATAAGTTGCCTGCCGGCGGTGAAAGCATTTTTTGGTATTTTAAATATTTAATTGAATGATAAATAAATGTAAGCCCTTCCCCCTTCCCCCTGCCACAATTGATGCTCGCCATCATCAGTGGCGTAAATTACGCTGAACGTAATGGAATCTGAAGAGAAAGAAGCAACAAAGACCTATGGAAAATCTGAACAAAAAAATTAAAGGGGGGGGGAATTAAAATAAATATAAAAATAAAAATCACATTTATGTACGCGAGGGAGTGTGTGTATTGTGTGTGTGTGTGTTTGAGCGAACCAATGATTGTGGCCAAGGCATATAAATATTTATACAGGGCTCGCTGGGGGCAGCCATTGAGAAGGGTTATATGGACTAGGGGTTAAAAAAATATTAAAATTACAAAAATATTAATATTAAAAAATATTAAAATTAAAAAAAATTAAAAATAAAAAAATATTAAAAATAAAAAGTATTAAAATTAAAAAATGTAAGCACAACTTTAATAACTAAAAGTAGAAAAAAAGATAAACCTTGTGCTCTTTCTCGTTCTCTTTCTCTAAATTTTCCAGTTTGCTACTAGAACAAGTTGGGAATTATAGTGTTTGCTCCTTGTAAGCCTCGGACTTGGCTCTCAAAAATACTAATTATATCCTTTTTTAACCAAAATAATTAAATAATACAATTATTTACAGTAATTATAATATTAAATTTTAAAATCTTATATTTAAGAATAAATTATCTATTGGCTTTATTTGTTTATCATTTAATTTTTACTTACAATTTACTTCTATTTTTTGAATTTTTTTATTGCTTACCTATTTCTTAATTAATTTCCCCATTTATTTTCATATTTCCTACCCCTTTTCTTGCTTATTTAATCACATTTCCCAAGTATTTCTTTTCAAAGGATACTTACCTCGTCGATTTCATCCTTTGAACTCACTTATTCGAACGCTGGCCGCCATTTTGTTTGGCCGCAGACGCAAAATGCAATTTAATTATTACATTTTGGAGTTTTCGGACCCCTGTGCTGTCCCCTCCTCCTGCTACCCTGTTTTTGGGGTCGCCGCCACTGGCTGTCCACATATTTATTTACTTATTTATTTAAACATTTATTTATCGTATTTACTTGCGTTTCATTTGCCCTGTGCGGCGGGGGAGTTTGGGTTTTCCATTTTCCATTTGCCATTCGCCATTCGCACATTTTCCATTTTCCATTTTCCATTTTCCGTTTGCAATCATTGAAACGGAACTTCCATTCGGACAGAAAATTTACATTTCAACTTCATCTGCATCTTCATTTTCCACCGCCCGCCCATTGCATATTTTCTTTTATTACTTTTATTATACCGCTCTCCCCCCTCCCTCCTACAATTTTCACCATTTTCACCGCAGAACTAATAAAACTTTATCTTTTTTAATATCGACTGGTGGGTGGGTGGGTGGTTTTTGGCTGCTCCTCGTGTAATATTTTACAAGCCCAACTAGCTGAAAAGTTTGGCAAAATATGCAAAATAGATGAGCTGAGGGAAAGCCAATGGGGAAATTCCTTAGCCTGGGGAATACAGGAGGGGAAAATTGTGGCACTGTCTAGTAAGAATATAGCCATACTTTGAGATCAAACCAAATTAATTTCAAGTATTATTATTAATATTTTCCTTGCCTTGGCTTTAACTTTCATGTAGATATTTCTTTTGCAAAAATTATGAAGTTCCGTTTGAAAACCTTTTGCTTTGTAGTGCCTTTGGATATTGGCTGCCTGATCATAGCCGTGATCCTGATTTTGTTCGAACTGCTGGCCCCGCCCCTGCATGACCCGGGTCCTGCGGGCAGCCCAGGACGACGCCTGGCAGCGGCCTACAGGCTCTTGAATATAGTACACAGTCTGGGCTGTATGTTGCTCTTTGCAGCTTACTTTTTAGTGAGTTCTTCTTTAGGAAAATATAATATAATATATATAATTCATAATTTCCATATATTTCCAGAGATTTTCCCTACTTGTACTTGCCTTTATGGCCAGTTTGATTCTGCATATGGTTATGCTGCCAGTTTTTCTGTTTTTGGATATATTTGTATGGAGAACTGACACCTTAGATGTGACCATTGCCTTTGTGGGCGTGTGTAAGTTGTATTATTATTAAATAATACATTTTAAATATATTTCTTAATATATTTTCTTAAATATTTCCCCCGTAGTCTTGAGCTTTTACTTCTTGTGGGTCACCTATTCCTTTTACTACGAGTGCAAAAAGGAGAAACTAATACAGGACAGAGTACGCTTTCAGGAGGATATTTAAATGAAATTCCTGTGTTTTTTTTTTTTAGCAATTATACACACATTTAATATTTTACAAACGAGCAAATACAAATAAGAAAAAAAAAAATGGAAGGAAAGAGACTTAGCTAAAGGATTTTTCACATGTGAGAGCCTCGGTAGCCTGGGGATCGTAGCGGTATTTTTGTTTTGTTTTGATTTTTTTTGGAAAATCCCCTCCTCAGCCAGACTTGGCCGTGGTGGGCGGGGGGACAGTTCATGCCACCAGGCGGTGGTCCTGGAGGGCGGGTGCCCGGCGGTGGAGTGCCACTAGGCGGGGGTCCACAAGGACCCTGGGGCATAGAGCTCTACACAGGGATTAATGGAAGATCAATTAGCCAATTAATTGAATTATTTATATATAAAATATATAAATATATTACCACAAAGACACTGCCCAGCAGCACCAGCAGCAGGCCCATGAAAAAGCTGAGGTTCAGATGCATCTCTCTTGTCCGGAAGTAAACTGTTGCTGGCTTTGGCTCCAGCTTCCGCTTTTATACTCTCCACTCACTCTCATTGGAGCGTGTCTATCTGTCATTACCCACGCAATTAGGTTTTTAGAATTAAGTTTTTAACAGTTGTCTGCGGTGTGAAAATTGCAGGGAAATTGTTTTCGTGTCGGGCAAAAACCAATTAAAATTAAATTTCGAAACCAAATGTAGTTGCTTGTATTAAATCATTATAGATCAATTGCTGAATGCTGGCTAGATTTGGCTTCACTTTACTTTTTTTCTTCTGTATTTTCAGTTTTCAGTTGCCACTTTTCTGGCTCTTCATTAAATGATTATAATTACCCGGCAGCTGCTACGTGGCGTATGAGTTATATATTTCGTGGCCCCCGTAAGACAACGCGGCGTATGCGTAATTTGCGCTTGGCTGGCTTAAAAGTTTTCTTAGCCGCGAGCAAAAGTCGAAACGCTGGCTGGAATTTCACACCTTATTGCCTTCGCATCTGGAGCGAAGGTCCTAAAACAATTAGCGATTGTTTCACCCCGCCAGCCCAATTTTCTTTGGTAACTGGGGTTTTTCTGGGGGTGTTGGTTGGGGTCTCTCTGTGTTGCCAACTTTTGGCTGTATTTTTTGGCTTTTATTTGAAAGGTTTAAAGCCTAAAGGTATTGAAAAGTGTTTAGAAAATATATCTTTTGGATTTTTAATATATTATTTTTGTTATTAGAGGGGTCTTAAAAGTCACCAAGTCAGTACACCAATAAAGCTAAAAATTCACCAATGAATTTTATGAATTATTAATATGTTAAATATCTTAAAACAACATTAGGAATAGACAACTCTAATTAGAATTCTTCTTCAAAAATTCACCAGTAAAATCATCAATAAATTCACCAATAAATTCACCAATAAACTCAACAATTAATCCAATAAATTATAAAATAAATAAATACATATTTATTTAGTAAATTAAATGTTTAAAATAATATGAATAAAATCCCTCTTGATTGCCTTGATCTATATCAATGCCACGTTGTATCTTCGCTGGATTTTGCTCCCCTGGTTGTGTGTGTGTCTCAGGTGCGATCCAGATGGCCAAAAAGGGGTGCTGACTGCATTTTGGCTCGGATTGCATATTCATGTACAACCGCCGCCACTTTCCACTTTGGTTGCCTGCCATGTTCATGTTCCGTCTGAGGCTTAAGCTCAGCGTTAGCCCGAGCTGTTCCCCCCCCTTCCGAGCTTGTTGGCTTGTTGGCTTCTTGGTTGGCCGTAAAACTAAAATAATAGCCGCATAACATTTTATCTACCGCAGTAATAAATATTCAGTTAATTATAGTAACCACGGGGGGGGAGCAGGGGGAGCACCGAGAAGCGAATGCAAATGTTTCTGGTAATAAAACACCGAAAAACTCTGCCGGCTATCTAATGCTAGTTGGGTTGTTGCTTCCACAAGTTGGATTAGTTGAACTTTGCATTTGGTGCTCTTGATTTCAATATATGATCGGTGAAGGATCTGTAGACTTGTTTCTAATTAATAATATTTTTTAAATATTTTTTCTTGGCTTAAAATATTTTATAACTATTATTACCAATTTTAAGTTATATTTTCTTGTTAAAAATATATATTAGTCTCGAAGTTTTTGCCAGAATTACCCCTCTTGCCCCTCCAAACCCCTCTTAACCCCTTAAACCCCCCCAGCCCCATTTTGCGAACCCTTTTTCGCCTTGGCATAACCGTTAAAATTTGTGTTTTTGCGGCACTTGCAAATGGTGCCTGGCGAATGGCATTGTTCCATTGTTGCTCCTGGTCCTGTGGCTCCTTCAGCTCCTCCTCCTCCTCCTCCCCGTAGTACTTGGCGGTTATAATAATTAAAATGAGCAAAATAATTTCAGCTGAAAGCATCGATGAAAGGCTGAAATGCTCAATAAATGTGCCACACCCCCCGCTGGTCCTCGTCTCGTGCCTTTTGTGTTGACAGAGCGAAGAACGGTAACTCAGAGCCTGGTTTTCCCTGGAAAATCCCCCCTTGGGGGGCAATTAAAATATATATATATATACACACCCACACACACACACCCAAGAAGGTGGCCAAGAAAAAGTTGCCGAAAAGTTTTCCCATCGATGACGGCCCCCACTTGTACACTGGCTGCCTCCTTCCATGTGATATCGATGGCAATGTTACAAGGGTTAAGGGTATGAGTGGGTGTGGGTGTGGGTGTGGGTGTGGGTGTGGGTGTGGGTGTGGGTGTGGCTTGGGGGGGGATGGGTGGTAACTGTGGGCTAGGGGGTACAGTTGGCAATGCGTAAAAGTGTTAACCAAAAGCAGTTAAAATTACAAAAGGCAAACGGGCGATGCCATGGCAATGCCGCCTAATAAAGGCAAGGACGAAGGACGATGGCGGGGGAGGGGCGTACAATGTCGTTTGGCTCCTTTGAAAAATTAACACCTAATATCCGCAAAATCGCATCAAAGTATTGTTCAAGTTCCCCCTTACCTCCCTCTTGGTTCTTTTGTTGGTGGAAAACTTTGCAATTTCTTAAAAGTGTCGCTCAAGCAGGACCTCTCCTCCTTGACCCCGCAGCTGTTTTTTGTGTAGGCGTTATTAGCCACACTTAAGACCCCCTCCCACTACCCCGAAATTTGAGACAAAGGAATGGGTGTGGGTGGCAGAGGGGGGGTGTAGATAATGTTGCCATATTTTAGCTTTGTTTTCCTTTTGTTTTCAGTGTTTTCCCTGGCTGCCCTGTTGTTGTTGTGAAAATTGACACCGCAGCAATGAGTTAATAAGGCCAAGGAAAATAGATGAGGCTTAGTCTTCCCTCTTTCCTTCTCTCTCTCTTTTGTATCTCCTTCCTTTTCTTAGTTTTTTTGTTAATATTTAATTGAACTTAACCTGTTTGGTGGTTTTGTTTTGTAAAGGTAATTTACACATGCTCGCATATGTGGGATTTTTTTGACAAGGGTTGAGGTTTTCTTAGGGTGGCTTTTGTTATGTTAAATATATTTTATTAAATACCCAAGCCTCCCTTAATTATTGTACATATTATAGTTAATATACTTAATATATTTTCTATTATATAATATTTTTTTAAATATTTTAGAGTTAGTTATTAGGTTTTTGGTTGATGTATTCCGCTTAGGGTTTCTTATATCATTTGGAGCCTCTCTTAAATATTCTTTATATTTTATTTAAAATATTTTTTATATTTTCTACAATATATATAATAAATTTTTAATATTTTAGAGTTAGTTAATAATTTTTTGTTAGAGGTAATTTATACATACTGCCACTTATGGGATTTATTGGTAAGGTTTAAGGCCCTTTCTATCCCTTTTATTTTTAAATTAAATTTTTTAAATACCCTAGACTCCCTTAATTAGTATCCAAATTATATTTAAAATATTTATAATATTTTCTAGTATAAATATCTATTTTTTAATATTTTAGAGTTAGTTAATAATTTTTTACCAGGGTCTAAAATCTTTTTAACCCTTTTAGGATGGCTCATATTTTTATTAAGCAACCAAGACTCCCTTAATTATTATCTATAATATCTTTAATATATTTCTAATACTTTCTACTATGTGTATTAATTTTTAAAAATATTTTAGAGCTCTAGATAACCCAACCATTGAACTCCTGAGAGGCTTTGGCAACGCAGCTACTTCTCTCTATAAAAACCGTTTATATGCCACATAAGCCGCACACATGCACACTCTCTCCTGCGAGTGTGTGTGTGTGTGTTTTTTATACATATTTTTAATTATTTTCATTTCATGTCTTTTAATTAACATGCCTAATAAAACACATGGCCAGAAAGCGAACCAATGACGAGGGGTGGCTGCTGGCAGCCAAAGAGCATAAAAAGATATTGTCAGTCATTCAGTCAGCCAGTCAGTCAGTCATTCTCTCAGTCATTCTGGCAGTCTCTGATGTATGCAAATACCATCCCTAACACACATGCGAGACGGTGGCACAAGGACTTGGGCAAAGCCTTTGAATCGCCTCTTCCGACTGCCTAAAAATCCCCAAATATAAATAATTAAAAAGAAAATGTTGCTGGGCAAATCAAGCGAGCATAATTACCAAGCTGCAGCCCAGCCGCTTTTCCCGGATTTCCCTGGGCTTGCCACCCTCAAAAAACTCTTTTGCGGTTTCTGTTTTTTTGTTTGTTTCAAATGCATAATGTAGATTATGGCAATAATTTTATGAATTTAAGTAATCATTCCAGACTGATGATGATGGCACTGCCTGCCAAGGTGGGCATTACGATAAGAGCCAGCCTAAGCCACACATCCTTGGCATCCTTTGGCTCTCAAGATGCTGGTGGTGTTTAGTCTTTGGAAAATACAGGTTTAAATATTTTTTTAGAATTTTTTTTATCACTCTAAACCAATTGAAATCCTTAAGCTCAACCCATTGAGTCCTTTAGTTTCTACTCTTTTGCCTGCTTTTGTTGTATCCTTTTTTTTTGTTGGCTCTCTTAATTTACCGTTCAATTCCACATTCGTTTCGGTATTGAATTTTTAATCACGCACACGGCCTCCATGAACCCTGGCAGGACATGGGAAGCCACGAGCTGAGGGCCAGGAGCTGGGGCCAAGCCTCCCATTCAATATGCAAGCCAAGCCAGTGAGTCTGGCAAAACTATGCACCAAACTAACAGAAAATCTGCACTGAGATAAATTTCGAATGATTTTTGAAGATACTTAGGAGAAGGTTAAGGAAATTCATCAAAGTTTTAGTTGGGAAAGTTTCAGGAATTAAAAAAACTTTTAGTTATTTAAGAAACTAAATTTTTTTAGAGATGTATTTAAGTGAAATATTTATCATTTAATATTTTTATATTATTTAGAAGCTTATAATTGTATAATAAAAAATGTTGATTATTAAATATGACTTGTTTTAAAGGTAAAATTTAATTTAAAACCAAAAAACAAGCTCCCCAACTTGACTTAGAATTTTTTTTTATTTTATACAAATACTTTTACCTTAAATT